ACATGTCACCATGACATTTATAGGGTACCTCACCACGTTTTAAGCGTCATGATGCAAGCAAAATTGAAAGTTTTGCATGTCAAAAAGGTGTCAGTCACCAAAACGTGTCAGTAATACCATTCTTGATCCTCAGCGCAGTCGAAACAATGGGCTGGATTTTTTAGATTTTCTAGATGGATCGATGGTTTCGCCAAGAAGCGACATCTTGAGTCTGCTGCGCACGTTGCCAGCGCCCGATTTGCATATATATATATATATGTATATATAATATATATATATATATATATATATATATATATATATATATATATATCTCTCTCTCTCTCTCTCTCTCTCTCTCTCTCTCTCTCTCTCTCTCTCTCTCTCTCTCTCTCTTTCTATCTATCTATATATCTATCTATATCTTTATATATCTATATCTCTATATATATGTACATATCTAATATACTTATATATACGCCTGTATATATAAGATAATATAGTGTAATATAATAATATAACATGATATATGTGTATGTATATATATATATATATATATATATATATATATATATATATATATATATAATATATATATACATATGCACCCAAATACAGGGGAAAAATAAAACCCCTGAATCATAGGATCCTTAAGTAGCGTTATAGTTTCACCAACGTTTGCAAATGAAATTACTCAAAAATTTGTCGGTCATGAGGAGACTTAATTCTAAGACGGACGATATGGAAATGAACTTTGAATGACATGCGTTTTGTTAATCGCCCAACATTCACAGACTTCGGACCTGTGTGTGAACTTCAAGCCCAGTTGAAGGAAAACGGTCACCGGCGTCGTTTTGCATTTAGTTTGACATCACCCTCTGGCCATGAACAATTTGGAAAACAAGCTTACAGCAGTAGTTAAATGTTGCAGCTTTTCCTTCCACATAATTTTTTAGACCGGGTCACGTGACTGTAATGATCTATCGTGGGACTGTGAACAGGACCAGGACTGTAATGTCTTATCGTGGGAAAATGGTATAATTATCAACGGTATCGCATTCATAATGATAGTCACGGGTCTCAGGGGGGTGGCATTTGTTGTTTCCTGACCATTTACTATATTATATACTGCACATTTACTATAGTTCTGACAACGTTGAGGTCCCAGTGATCCGTAGACGGTAGATTATTTACCCGCACTAGGCACCTTGCTGCACGTATTTGTGATCTCTGAGTTTGGACACTGATAGTCCCCTCTCCCTAGCCTCCTGATTAATAATGAGTGCTCAGAGGATTTCGACTGACCGTACACAACGACCCAGCACTTTTGCCGATATTGTTGCCTGTTCGGTCGTGTCTCGTCAATCGGCGATGGTCTCGCACCGTTAGAATCCCTGATTGTCGATCTCAGGGCTCACTTTCGTCCCTGGCGTTCAGCTTCTATTGCACAGTCAAACACTTGATGTTTCTGAGTTGGTCGACTGGAGAACGTCAAGTTAGTGCGGTTATGCAATGCTACGGGAGAGCCACGTCGCGTAAGACGGCTTGCGCGCGACTGTATTTGAGGTCGAAGGCGCGAGTTTAAAGGAATTATGCTTCCGGACGTTGCAAATCCGTGGTTACCGAACCGCAAAGCCGTTTAGAGATGCCGGGCGAGGCCGAGCAACGAGGACGAGCACAGCCATCGAAAGCACCAACATTGCGGTTATTTGAGGACAAATTAAACTCGGTCTGTAGCTTTGCCCATTATCACATCAATTTAGTCTAAGGCCCTATAATAACGTGCTATCACGCGCATCTCCTCCTTCTCACTGACGTCACATTTTTAGTGTCAGGGGTGTAGTTCCCCTTTCAGTTGTGGGGGGGGGGGGGGGGCGGGGACGGGTCCAGGCTTTTTTCTTTGTTTCATTTTTCCTTTTTCTCTGCAGTTAACCCGCCTTCGGTATTTTGCGAACTACGCCAAGGCCAAGGATCGATAAAATGTGCTCACGGATCCTGATTATCCATCGTGTTGGAGAGCATTCCGCTAAAGCATGATGAAGAACAGCGACCATAAAGATAGAACGGTGCGTCATGTCATTTCAGCTCGATTACGTAATGGACCATAAGCCAATGTAGATCTCTGTTGGCGATATAGGCCATAAAGCTTTATCTTCCGCTGACTTTTGCTTCAACATAAGTTGACATGGGCGTAAAACACCCAGACTTTCGTTCAGGTTTTTGTTTCTAATTTAATGAGGGACCAGGCACGAGTTAGCAATTCGTCCAAACAAGTCTGCTGCCCGTGTCTGACAAAGTTTAACTCCCGCCTGGCGGGAACGGGATATCCAACAGAGTCATTCCGAAGACCGTAGGAAAACAAAACCGGATAGCATTGCGAAATTATGCGGTGCGGTGTGATAAGCACGCGGAGCACATATTTTTCCAAAGTTTTGGCTCAATAAAAAGTTAGACCATTGGTCTGTAATATAATCCGAGAGAATCCTACAGGGTCTTGTTACGATTTATGGCATTTGCTGTCAATTGAAAGTAAATGTCACTCATCGAAACAAGTTCAGTAAAATATTATGGCTCACAAACAAACAGGCTGCTTTCTACAAATCTATACAATTTTCAAAGCAGGGGCAAAGTTTTGCAAAACGAGTTGGTTGGCGGGCGGGCTGGCAGTGACAAATGCCGAGAGATGGTTCAAAATACGTCAACAAGCGGGGTTTTCCCGGAATTTGATTCACTTTGAGGCCGTGATATGAATAACGTCACTCAGTTTTTTGCACAACCATCTCCCCGAATAACGCCGTGGTTACACCTGACTAAGGACAGCTCACCCGCATCCCTGCCCCCTGGTTACGCTGTGTTAAGCTCAGCGTCTCAGTAAGTGCTGCCCGCTTAGCCGCTGACTAAGTTAGAAATACGAAACAACGGGGCGTTCCTAAGAAGTCTTAACTATTGCTATTTATCTGCGGTACATCGATATTCGAGCAGGCACTGAAAGGTAGGCTTTATAAAGCCAGTACGAGTGTTTTTCTATTTGACTTAAAATTAACATGTTTACTGTTATACCAATGCTTCTATTTTCTTCTCATCCAGCTTATTTTTGCTTCGCTGAATGCGAGCCGATGTCTTCTCACACAAGCCGTTTAAGTGTTTGAATTATTTTTGCTTCTGCCGTGGCAGTTTCGCGTCATACGCCAGCTGTGACGATCTGATTTATATTCTGGCTGATACCTGTTATTCCAATTTGCCATGACTTATTGGACACGTTTTTGTTAGACGCGTCGGACACGAGCAAACTATTATGCCTTACTGATTTGGCGACCTCACATGCTGTGGTTGATTCGATTCCACTGGAATCGAATCTGGCGAATCGCTGATTCTGGCGAATCTGGAAAATCGCTCCGAAGCTGGCGCCTGTTTTTCGGGTCAAACTCAAAGCTAACGCAAGCTTCTTTTGAAAAATTGCACCAATGCTAACTCGACTCCCATGTTCAGTCTGTGTGAGTCGGGCTCAGGGAGTCAGCCGGGGTGACCGTCAGCCAGATTCGAGTCCTTCTCACTCGATCACGGCCAGCCACGAGGCTGTCGGACGGATCACGGGCATCGGGCCTGCGAACCAACTCACGATCCCGTATCTCGCGCCAGATCGCTGCCTTGATCGTTAGCTTGATTAACGTCTTCCGCCACAGAAATGCATCCTACGACAGATACGGCGTTTAGTACGTGGTCACACGATGGCTTAGCTCTTCTGATAACCTCAGGACATCACAGCACAAACCACCGGATTCCACGAACACGCGACAGTGGACCAGCCGCCACTCTGCCGTTGGGATTCGGGGAGCGCTCAACGGCAGACCAGCGACCAAGTCCCTGTTTGAACTCGTGCACTTGGGCTTCTGAAAGCTCGTGAGGTTCCCAGGTCACGGTTCTAATCGCTCGTTGTATCAACCTAAACGTGTTGGCTTATGACAAATAAGCTAATCTTGCTACTTAACTACAGAAGATCGAGCAGAATACTGGCCGTTATGCCGACATCGATGTGCTACCCTTACTAGGTCAGATCACATCGCATTACTAGGTCAGATCACATCGCATTGCCCACTCCGCTCCTGGGACGTTTGGAAAAACGACGAAGTGGGGACGAGTACTGCGGTTGCGTTGTCGTGGTGGGCTGGGTTCGAGCGCTCGCAGTTGTGCCATGCGAGACTGATGAGTTCCCGCAAGGACATTCTGAGTACACGCATCGTGCATTGTGCTTTGCCTGGCTGCTTGCTTGTTTGCCGGCATCATTCCTGGGTGTCGATTTTTACTGGTAGATTCAAGGGGTGGGGATGTCCGGGACGGCAGGGGGGGGGGGGGGAGGCGAGCCGGGCAGGGCTGGGGCCCAAGGGGTGGGGATGTCCGGGACGGCAGGGGGGGGAGGCGAGCCGGGCAGGGCTGGGGCCCAAGGGGTGGGGATGTCCGGGACGGCAGGGGGGGGGGGGGAGGCGAGCCGGGCAGGGCTGGGGCCCAAGGCACCGTGGCGACGGGACGTGGCCGGCGTTACGGTGGGGGATAAGCTGGTCTTTACGCCTTTCCTTTCCATGCAACGTTATAGGGCCGACGAAAACTTTGTCCACTTTGGGACGACTGTCTTCTCCGTTCCGCCTGATTCGGGACCCTTTCTCAAGAAGATGAAGAGCCGAAATTTCCCCTTTCTCACGGGAGACTCCTCGCAACTGGCACGGTCACTTGCTAACATGCCACGCCCGAGGCTCCATGTCCAACCTTGATCGCTGTACAGCCTACAATAATGTCAGCCCATTCCAGGATACAATTGTCAAGCAGGTGACTGTGCTGGCACCCGGCCAGAAAGTCGCAGAGGATTTCTGACCATCGCGGTCTTAATCTCAAGCCGCTGCTGAGGTGGCGCAGTAAGCGCTATCTTCTTTTCTGAAGGACAATAGTCTTTAGCCCCCCCCCCCGTTAACTGGGGGGGGGGGGACTAAAGTCCGGCTGGCGCGACACTCTCCCGCCGCCCAGTGTTGGCGACTGTGCTCCCCGGCGACAGTCATGCACAGGCTCGTGCTCCAGGTGGGTAAGCCCCTGCCGGCACCCCGTGATCGGGTGGCGTGATCGGGCGTCGTGATCACACGAGATCGGGCGTCGTGATCACAGTGATCGGGCGTCGTGATCACAGTGATCGGGCGTCGTGATCACAGTGATCGGGCGTCGTGATCACAGTGATCGGGCGTCGTGATCACAGTGGTCGGGTGTCGTGATCACAGTGATCAGGACCGACAGGTCGGGGCCAGGGACGTGCGTCGTTTCCACGCTTGTTATCGTCGGCCGCCTGAGGGGAGTGCTAACCGCCCGTTGTGCGTCAGCTGACCGCTGCAGCTTGTGAGGCAGGCCGCAGTCCGTGCTGCCGGGGCAGCTACCCAGACTGTGAAACGAGCGTGAGGGCCGACTGATTACCGCTTCGGGCCCACACGTGGCGGCCCAGGTTCGCGTCTCAGCAGCGCCGTGGATTCCGAGCGCTCACACGGCCGCTGCCGTCGCTGGCACTCCACAGAAGGCTGCGCGTCGGCGTGCGCCGCGTTCCCTCGAAAAGTTTTTTTAAAGCTGAGCCCATGTTTTGTCACGAAGCAGATCGGACAGCGAAGAAATCGGTAGATCGTACGACAAACGTTTCTTGCTCTTTTTATCCGTGACGGATGTTTTTCCTACCTGAGCTGAGTACCTGAGCCCTGCATGTGTTATTCGCACAGATGACGTGCCATTTTACGAAGTTCTGTATGTTTGTTGCATAGGGTCACCGGCTGAAGGAGCACGCTAATCGTCTTGTGGATATGCTTGACATGCACGCTAGAGGATGTCATCTAGCCAAAACTGAAGTGGTCAAGGTGGATGGCACATATCACCACATCTCCCGGGACCATTTATGGTGTGAACCTCAACTTTACGCGGATTCCGAGAATTTCCACCTTGACCGAGCCGACCGGCAGGGAGATCAGATGGCAGATCTCGGACATATGCGAAACCGACCACGTAGGAATGCGCAATAACATCGATGGCATTTGCGCGAGTTTCCAACAGCAAGAGCTGATTGAGCACGGCCATCTATCTTGATTGGCCATGCGTGACTGCATTCAGCTGACTCTCCGCACTGTGCGCTCAGCAATGTGCGGAATGTGCCGGAGCCCGATTTGTCCCGTCACTGTCACCCACCTGCTGTCGGGCCCGATGCCTTCGGCTGAGCTGATCGACAACCGGAGCACAGACGGAATAGTTACGAGGCAATTGACTTTTTTTGCTTCTTGATCACATACCGGCTGCACATTCAATAATAGATGAGGGTGCGAGGTAGAACGCGAGGATGCTAGTGCACGCGCACTTCAGCGCAGCAGGCCTCGCTGCGGTGGTTGCGCCGCGGTTGCTGGATCACTCGCTTTCGAAACCGCAGAAGGCTGTGGTCTCAGATATCTGCACCGCAGCTGCTGCCGACAGTTTCATTTCACGGTCTCGAAGCGCGACAGAAATGGCCCCTTTATCGTGTTTACCCTCGCAAACGGCGTATGAAACAGAATTTTTTGCGGAGTAGTAGAGAGAAAATAGCAAAAGGCAACTGTTCCAGCAAAAAAACTAAAAGCAAAGCACAGCCAAATAAAACCAAAACAGGACTTAGGATCATGACGACAAATGCCACGGGTCAACATGAAGTCTTCTACTCTAAGATATCAGGAACTTGCGTAAGTTGTTCAGTGCATTAGCAAGGAACATCATACACATAGATACGACAGTGGCTTGCTGTTTCAAACATAACCCAAAAATCGAGCGGAATCATCGACAGGCAGTTTTGAATTCACCTCCGCTTTTGTTTCGACAACGGCATATTGTCGAAATATCAGCCAAACCATATCTACATTCTCCTGTCTTTTCCGAGGAATAGGGCTAATACTACTGTCTTATCGATATCAGGAACTTGTGTTGACCTGTCCGATTCTGTTCCGGTGCGTTTTAACATCCCCACTCCAAACCACGCTTCGGAACTGAAACATGATTCGCCCAATCGCGCAAAAGGTACACGTACATATTAGGCGAATATGCGACTTATCACAGCACCATAGTGCTCATTTACTGTGATGGATAAACCTATCATGTTTTCGTGATTTTGAGGGACATGATAAGCAGCCCTATTGCTTTGTTGGCTTAGCGTTCTATAGCTTAAAAATACGTTTACGTAGAGCATTGTTGGGATTTTTCCAGACGACACCATGCACACCGAATTTCTCGAGTAGTTGGCTTTGCCACACGGCATCCGCACCTGGTAACAATGTCAACACAGCCTGAAATAATGTGAGACGTATGACACAAGGCACGACGCGAAACCGATAAACCAGTGGACGTCCACGTACAACAATGCTACATCACCTGCGCGTCAAGTGATAACTCACGGTAAGCTGACACAGCCCGTCATCATAGAGCTCAGATCCACATGATGCTTAGTGTCTTATCGGGTAGTCACGTCGTGCACAAATACCTTGCCTCGAGCTTTGTGCCAACTTGACTGGTGTTTGGTGACGTCATGATTCTGTCTTCGCCCCATTGTGTGCCCCATTAAGCCTTCCATGGACGGCCGTGAGGAGATTCGAGGGGGGGGGGGAGGATTGAGTATACTGGGTCACGGGAGGTGACATGTAAGTAAAAATGCGGAGGTGAGCAGCGAACTCTACACGTAGAAGGAATCTGCGACTTCCCCTGATCGATCTGGCGTGCCCTTCTTATCAGGTTGCCGGATTTTCCAAAAAAGAAAATACCAGGATGATCCCTCTGGCGGGGTGGAATCGCGGGGTGTCAGAGCTCGGCACGCGCTCCCCTGCGGGCCAGATCACCTCAGATGATCTCCTCTGACGGGGGTGGAATGGCGGGATGTCAGAGCTCGGCACCCGCCCCCTTCTAGACAGATTTTCTTAGCCGCAAACCCTGAGGGAACGGCCCCGGCCCTGCGAGGACCGGGTCAGATTGCTGCAATCACTTTCCGTGGCTATCACCATCTGTACATGTCCACCGGATCAGTAAAAACCACTCCCAGACGGCGCACTCGGTGCAGGCATATGGTGTGATGTGGGTGACCACTCGTCAATAGCGAGCCGGTGAGAGCGTTCTCATGTTTCGCCAGGGCACAATCAGGAACAGCGCCACAGAAAATCGCAGAGAAAAGCCTTTACGCCACCAGGTCTAGTTCCAGACTTTACCTCAAAAGCTGACATTCTGCTGGTCTTCAGTTTGCCGCTTTATCACGCTAAGCGTCGTCCTGGGCCTCATTAAGATGCCCCCATTGGACCGTCGATACCCATTGCTGTGCCGGACGAGATTAGAGGGCCGACACCGCAGAGACGGGATCCGGCGCTGCTGAGCATGCTGGTACACGTGACAGCATGACGCGTTCGATGGCATGAAACACGTGACGGCATGACTCAGGAGACGTCATGACTCAGGGGACGTCATGACTCAGGGGACGTCATGACACAGGAGACGGCATGACTCAGGAGACGTCATGACACAGGAGACGTCATGACACAGGAGACGTCATGACACAGGAGACGGCATGACTCAGGAGACGTCATGACAGAGGAGACGGCATGACTCAGGAGACGTCATGACACAGGAGACGGCATGACTCAGGAGACGGCATGACACAGGAGACGTCATGACACAGGAGACGGCATGACTCAGGAGACGTCATGACACAGGAGACGGCATGACACAGGAGACGTCATGACACAGGAGACGGCATGACTCAGGAGACGTCATGACACAGGAGACGGCATGACTCAGGAGACGTCATGACACAGGAGACGGCATGACTCAGGAGACGGCATGACACAGGAGACGTCATGACACAGGAGACGGCATGACTCAGGAGACGGCATGACACAGGAGACGGCATGACAGAGGAGACGTCATGACACAGGAGACGGCATGACTCAGGAGACGGCATGACAGAGGAGACGGCATGACAAAGGAGACGGCATGACACAGGAGACGGCATGACTCAGGAGACGGCATGACACAGGAGATGTCATGACACAGGAGACGGCATGACTCAGGAGACGTCATGACACAGGAGACAGCATGACTCAGGAGACGGCATGACTCAGGAGACGTCATGACACAGGAGACGGCATGACTCAGGAGACGTCATGACACAGGAGACGGCATGACAGAGGAGACGGCATGACACAGGAGACGGCATGACTCAGGAGACGGCATGACACAGGAGACGGCATGACTCAGGAGACGGCATGACACAGGAGACGGCATGACTCAGGAGACGTCATGACACAGGAGACGGCATGACTCAGGAGACGTCATGACTCAGGAGACGGCATGACACAGGAGACGGCATGACACAGGAGACGGCATGACTCAGGAGACGGCATGACAGAGGAGACGGCATGGCACAGCAGACGGTGGGGCACAGGGGACGGAACGACACAGGAGACAGCATGACAAACATGACGGTATAATACTGCAGAAAACGTGACACAAGGAGACGACATGACACAGAAGACGGCGCGGGACACGAGAGGGAATGACACAGGAGACAGCATGACACAGGAGACAACATGACACAGCAGACGACATGACGCGGCAGACGGTATGACACAGGTGATGGCATGCCACAGGAGACGGCACGTCACAGGAGACGGCATGAACACAGGAGACGGTATGACATAAGTGACGATATGACACAAGTGACGGTGTGACATAAGTGACCGTAAAACGTAAGTGACGGTACGACACAGATGACGGCATGGCACAGCTGATAGTATGACACAGTGACGGTACAACACAGGTGATGTTATGACACAGACGTTATGACGTTATGACACTTGACGGTATGACACGAGTGACGGTACTACACGTGAGAGCATTATGCACGTTAAGAACATGGTGAGAGGCGCCGATAAGCATTCCAAGTGTGTGGCGCCGAAGAAATGTGGTGATCTTCTGTAGCCAGTACTTCTGTTCAGTACTACTTTTACTTTTTTACTTTTACTACTGTATTAGTTGAATAGTTCTGATAG